TGGTTTAAAAGTTCTCGGTATCTCTCAATTTTGCAGCATTTGTTAGAGGCCTATTTGTGCATTGCTGCTGTGTTGTCAGCAACAAGTCCATTGTGGCTTCTCTCTTGCTGCTCCAGTTATATCTACAGTGATGGAAAAAATAATGTGACTTCTTCACATGACAACACCCTGATACTTGGAACTGTCTTAAATAACATGGATTTGTACATAATTGTACTTTACATGTTCACATCTTGCATGCACCACATTTCTGGCATATTTGTTGCCTATTGTGGGGGGACTGGAAAGTTCATTGCTCCCGTCACTTTCTGTCTACTTTTTGATTCAAGATGGGAACTCCTCTCTGCCAACTTTATTTCTCCTATTCAATTCTACAACTGGTTTCAGACATAACAAAGAAAGAAGATACAAATTTGGAGACAGTTGTAGCTAGACAACTTCAGATATTCTTGGACTGAAGGATCTAGATCCTGGGTTCAATCTGGATTCACACCTGGTCATAGCATGGAAGTTGCCTTGATCACCAGGATGGATAACCTACACCACTCAATTGATGGTCCTCTTGGACCACTATATAGCCCTTGTCCATAGTATCCTGCTAGACCTCCTAACTGGGATGGACTTTGGAGGATAAGAGTTATTTTGATTTTGTTCCTTCATGCAGGGCAGGTACTGGGGGACTTCTGTTTGACATCTTGGTCACTGTCATATGGGCTACCTCAAGGATCAATTGTGTCATGCAGGATTTTTTGGTCACTTGCCCCAAACTGTGAAAACGGCTTCCTAAAGAAGTGAGGTTGGCACCTTGACTTGAAAACTAAATTATTTATTTATAAAATCTATATACTGCCTCTTCAGAGACCAGTTTGACTTTTAATGGTTTTTCTTTTTCTGGAATGCCTTTCAATGGGACCAGAGGAGGGTTGATGTCTATAGATTCACCCCTGAACTTGTTGTATTTTAAATTTGTTTGTTTTATAATGAAATTGTTTTATGCCTCAATTTATTTATTTAGAAAATTTATACATCACCTTCCCAGAGACGTGCTCAAGGTTACTCACAAAAACCCAATAAAATAAAAAATGAGATTAAACATTAATTAACAAATAGCCATAAAAATCTATCCATAAAACTCTGTTTGGACATAAAATCCAGCCAAGGTATAAAATGTCAACAGAATAAATGACCTTCATAATATAGTCTGCAGGCTAGAAGTAGACCATAAAGCAATGACAGAAGGTTGGGCCCTCTCAGTTAAAAGCCTGGGGGAAACTGTTTTGGCTCAGCACCTAAAGGAGAATAAGATGGAGGTCAGGCAAGACTCAAGGGGCTGCCCATTCTACAAATGAGGTGTCACCATTGAAAAATTCCTGCTTCTGGTTGCCACACCCACCTCACCTCTGAAGATGGGAATACCAAAAGCAGGGACAGGGAAGGTGATCCTAACTGAAAGATGGATCACCTGAGCCAGATTATCAGGAGGGACAACAAGTGGTGCATTAGTGGAGGCTGATAAAGGCATTACACGCTATGGAAGAAACCTGAGCTTCCAGTCATGGGCCAGGATGTAATAGCATTCCCAAGTGACATACCAACTCCTTCAGGGCAAGCGCAAACCCAGTTGTGAGAGACTGTGAGGATATCTGGGTGGAAAGGCAGTTGAAAAGGACTACAAAGAAATACATACTCTTACCTCAGGGCCAGAAGTCCTTTGTGTTTTGTGCTGGCAAACTCGCACCACATCATGACTTCTACAACTGTGTGGTTCATCTACCTAAATTTGACTTGCTTAACTTAATATGTGTAAGTTATTCTTACAATGTCTGGGTTATTCCAACTCTCATATGATAAGCTGTTCAGATTGAGTATATTGTAGTGGCTAAGGCTGTGGGCATTGCTCTAGGAAGGCTGGCTTGGCGGTTGGCTCACTGCAAGACTTTGGGCTGAATATCAGCAACATGGACTACTAATGGTGGCTTTTCTTAGGAGGTTGTGGTCAAAAGCACTGTATAAATACTAAATATTATTATTGCTGTTCTAAGTTGTCAGCTTGGCTCTTGCTTGTCTTATTTAAATCATCAAAAAGAATTCACTGCTGATATTACTTATTATTCTATTTCTCTTTCTTGATAAAGAAACAATCAGTTTGTAGCAAATAAGTTCATACTGACGATTGGTCAAGGCACTTATTATTATTATTATTATTATTAGCACTTGAGTTCTAATAGTAGTAACAGTAGTAGTTACATCTGTCTGGGGTATTGAAATATTTTTATTACTGTAAAATGCTCTGCTTTGTGCTTGTTTCTTTTAAATCATTTTTCGACTTGATCACCCATTATGTTCTGTAGACTGGAATTTATATTCCTCTTCACTATCAATAACTAGACTATGCATTACCAGAATGCAGATAGTTGTATGGTGATTTTTCCATTTGCAAATTACTCAAATTAAGTATCTAGTTCTGGCTGCTGAGGCATTTCACTCATGTGGCGAGATGTCATTTTCGCCTTACCTTGCTCTCACCAGCTATGAGGTTGCAGAACCATTTTACACATTCAGATTAATCTATGGATTTGCTCATTTTACGGGCTTTTTAAAAGGTAAATATGCTTTTCAACATGATTCTTTTTAAACTGGGCTGAAACATCCAGAGATTTCTGCTTCTCCCTCAGAGTACCCTATCTGGTACAGGATGTATGAAAGATTGCTCCGCATGCATATTTTCTCTCACATATTCTTAAGAATATAAGAAGAGCCCTGCTGGATTAGACCAGTGGTCTAGCTAGCTCAGCATCTTTTTTCCAGACAGTGGCCAGCCAGCAGCTCTGGAGGAGAACATTCTTTACCTAATGGATAATGGCTGACAGAAGTAAAGGAGGAGACTGAACAATACAATGATGGGGGGAAAGCACAAAATGACTGAACAAATAAGCAGCTAGAGAGATCCACAGGGAGCTGAAAAAGTGCGGGAAACTAACTATGTTGTAAGGGAACCAAGTACAGTGAAGCTAAGTATTTGAATTGGAAATAGACAGGTAGCTCTTCAGTTCTAGAAACCCTTTTAGAATACTGTCGTGTTGGAAAAGAACATGAAAGTCTGCTTTATTTTTGCCTTTCATTTTTAAACTGCTCAGTTTATCAGATATGACATCTGCATCCATTCGTTATGCCCAAACAATCTCATAATAGCGAAGCACTTATGAAGCTGAGAAACCAGCAAGACAAGGATCATTGCTGCTTCGACTGAAAAGTGTGATATGTTAAGGACAATCTTGTCAAGAGAGTGGGACAGTTAGAGCTGAACTGGCTCCTATTGTTCAGGTTCACTTTCCGTCTGAGAGACCTGGCAGGGGATGCTTTATTGTGTTATTTTCCAGCTGAGAATACCACTCTGTGGAGAAAATGCTATTATAGTGTTTCAAATGGAAACATGCAGCCTCTGGTTCAGCACCTTCCATCTTCCTATTAACTGTGGAGTGCACTGGGATACCAAGTACTTTTGACACAAAAGCAGAGCATTTCTGTTCAATATACTCAAAATGGATTAACACAAAAAGATGTAAACCATTTCGGGGGGGGGGGATCCTCCTGAATTGCTGTGTTCATATAGCTATAAAATGGGGTATTTTGCAAAATCTTTAATCTATATTATTCACACTTGCAAGAAGTAGGGCCCTAGTTCTTATAAAATGGGGTATACCAACAGATAAGCCAGTATAGTACTACAACACACATTGATATTGTAATAATTAATTACAAATATTGACACCTGAGAAAATTACAGGAAAGGTAGGGCAAAGAGAAGGTTTCCTTTCTTATCCTTGGAGTCCTTGTGTCCATCAGGTCCATGTACTTCGTGCATGATGGAACCAAGAGGAGACTGATGCAATGTCCCAAGATCTTCCAGGGCATGGCAGTGGGCCTCTTTATTTGCCTCTCACACAGAGGGTGCATAAGTTTACCAAATGAAGGATTCTAGGGAGGCCAGTGCTGTCTCATGAAACGATGTACCACCGGCCTCCACATAACTGCTTGGCGAGCCCTAGGTTGGCAGAGAGTGCTCAGTGGTGCTCACTGCTTTTTGTTGAAGACATCTCCATCCCCCTGCAAGCTGAGGGACACCATACGTGTTAGTGGAGAGATTCTTCAGAGGCATGGAAAACTCCAGAATCTGCCCAGCACAAAACTTCAGAATCTCCCCAGTATGCATTTTTTCCATTGATTTCTACCACTGATAAAAAATTTCTTCCCAGCCCCCCGTTTCCTGCCCTCCATGTCTGCACTACTCAGACTAATCTCAGATTAAAAATACATTTTATTTGTATCCCATCTTTCCTCCAGGACGTTTAGAGTGGCATTTCACAGTGCAATCCTAAACTGAATTATGCCCTTCTAAACGCACTGGTTTAGAAGGGTGTAACTCTGTCTAGGATTGCGTTGCTTATCTCACAACCATCCTTAAATAATTGATTAGGCAGGAAAATCATGATTTGCCACGGAAAACAGTTCTGCCAAACAATTCTCTCCTTCTAGCTGGCTTTTATTGCATAGGATCTTGCAAAGGATTTTTTTTGGGGGGGGGGGGGAGCAAGTAAAGCACACCCTTGTCCTCAAGCAGTCTATACTGGTACAATCCAATGTGAGATTCCCTGATTTTTGAGACCCAGCCATGAAAGGATAACCCTATCTTTGTTTACTCAGAAATAAATTCCTCTGATTTAAATAAGGCTTATTCCCAACTTAGTATTCATATAAAATTGCATCTCAAGTACTGGCAAGCTGCTACAGATATTTTAAGGTTGGATCACTTATCTAGAAAATACCAGTCCACAAAATCAATTAAGGTGGTGTAAAGCTGACTTGTGCTCATTGACTTCAGTGGCACTAATCCATTAGCTGAACTCAGCTGTGTTTCCTGGGAAAAAATGCCTTTGCCAGATGAAATCTACCAGCAAATACATCATCCAAAACTCTTAGTTAATGTTTTAAACTCTTACCTGGTAATGCATCAATATGTGCATGACGTAATCATAGACTTCTCCAGCAAGTCTGTTTTCTGGTCTCCAAGGAATAATGACAAACTGAATCCCTAACAAGGGCACGAGGATTAAAGTGGCTCGGACAGCCTTCATGTACATGTTGGACTCAGCCCGATGCGTGTCTCTCAGCTTTGTGACAAGAACTCGGACAATGTTAAGCAGAAAGAAAAAATTGACCTGCAAGAACAGAAACATTATTATACAGGCTTCCTTATTTTTCTAATTTACTAGAAACAATCAAACTTATGAAACTTTAAATACAGGAATATACTGTCAGTTTTCAATATAAAATGGCTTAAAAATAAGATCTGTTGAAATTCCATTGAACATTTTTTATGGCACATACAATCATTACATGATATTCATGGCATTCAGCATGGATCTCTGACCTCAGGAATCTGTAAAGAAGTTTGCAGAGGGGAAAAATGAAGACACCATATTGACACTGTCTGCTGCGTCACTTGGACCTAACCTTCCCCCCACCACAGAATTTATATTTTGTGCTTGCATTTTATTTATTTACATTACATTATTTACACACATAATTTATTTACATTATTTACATACATTACATTACATTCCACCTTTCTGCAATGGTAACCCAAAGAAGTTTAACAACAGCATTCTCTCCTCCTTCATTTTATCTTCAAAGTAACAATCCTGTAAAGTAGGTTAGGCTAAATGAGTGAGAGAGCGACTGGCCCAAGATCACCCACTGAGCTTCATGGCAGACGGGATTTGAACCTGTGTCTTCCAGGTCCTAGGGTCTGGTCACACGGACCTCTTACTGCGCTAGTTTTCCCGCAATTCTTATATCCGAGACATATCCGCGACATATCCGCGACATTTTATATCGCTAGGAGGTGGTCAGACGGTCCCTCTGTCTTCCGCTTCCCTCGCGCAAAGTACTGTTCACACAGGCGGTTTTTTTTTTGTTTGTTTGTTTGTTTTAAATCTGGGCATGCGCTCGTCTTCCCATGCGCTCGGGCGTACATACAAACTAATAAAAAGACCTTTGCTGTCCTTTCTTCTACCCGCTGGCGGCAAACACCCCCCCCAACCCAAGCACAGGAGCCGGGAGTGCCAGACCCTCCTCGGAGTGGGCAAGAGGTTTAGGAGGCATGAACCCTGTCGCCTAAATTTTCACTCCCCTTCGGGCAAGAGGCACTGCCCGGGCTTCCTCCCCTGCCCGGCGGCGGCGGCGGCGGCTTCCCTTCCCAGCCCGCCTCCTTTTCTCTCCCGCGGTGCCTTGCACTGATAAGCGAGGGAGAAGCAGCAGGCGAGGGAGTGGGTCTGTGTATGTGCAGCCGCCGCCATGCGGAGAAGGGACCGGCCCGGGTGGGGAGGCGGTGTGGGTAGAACGAGTTGGGAGAGCGAGCGAGAGCAGCTCTGGCTGGCTAGCTGGCCAGCCAGCCGGCGCACACACCCGGGAGCGGCTTTGAACTTGCTCGCTCCCTCCCAACAAAGTTCCCGGCTCTGCCTGTGCTCAGCGGGGTTTTTTTCTTGTTTGACAGCTGGGCGCAGACGGCGGCCTCGGTGGGATCTAAAAGACCAAAATAAAAGCTAGCGCCTGTTTGCACAAGCGCATAGCTAAAACCAGAAACACACCAAAAAAAAACCAACGGGGGGAGGGTAGCGCGGTCACGGCGGATTGCTGTCCAGATACCAAAACCGCGGATACAAAGCGCGAGATGTCAGAAAACACCTGTTCCAACAGGTGTCAAAAAAACGCGGATAAAAGATCAGAAACCGCGGGAGTCTGCCGGCTTCGGACCGGGAAGCGGGTTTGCCTATGTAGACAGGAAACTTTACTGTGGGAGAAATCAGCTGCGAGTCCGGGAAAGAATGTAGACAGGAAACTTTACTGCGGGAGAAATCAGCTGCGAGTCCCGCACTAAACATCCGTGTGACCACGACCCTAGTCTAACTTTCTAATACTATATCAACTTGGGTTTCTGAAACTCACACCACAATCTTCTCTGTAACAGAAGGCATGGGGAAGGTGGCAAGCAAAAATGCCACATTATGAAGATGAGTACCTTTATAAGGCTACCTTATCTCCACGTCACCTGTATCTCCCTGCCTTTCCCAACCACCACCACTGGTGGGATCTGAACCAGTCTTTGCTACCTTGTTCCCCCTGATCTAAAAATATTTTAAAATATTTTTTTAAAGAGTGCTTCTCAGAATCACTACTTTATCTTCCCTAGTTTTGTGAGCGCAATTACTATGTTGGCTTGAGCCCCACTTAACATTTTTGGAGGCAACGCCTGACACACTATTACTGAGAAACAACAGGACTCCTTTCTGCTTAAACACTATTGTCTCTCCTTTAATGTCTGTTGAATTGGTAGCCAGTACATTTTTTGAATGGCAGTATGTTAAAGAGCAAGCCAGACAGTCAAATCAGTAATCGTGATACATTTTTAACAAAGTAGTTTGAGTTTCTTTTAGAAATATGATGCTTTTCTTTCTTAGAGTGACTGAAGTCCACAGCTCAATACTGGGACCTATTTAATAGTTTGCACAATTCCCGCCAGTGTTGGAAATTGAAAACCCCGGGGGGGGGGGGGATTAGGCTGCTGCAATAAATCTTGAGCCAGCTGCAATTCTGGAGAGGATGAGGAGGAGCTTGCAAGGAGTTCCCATGCAGATGATAAAATTATGATCTTATGCACAGCAGCTTACTTTTACAAACCATTACAAACCAGAGCCAGTTTGGTGTAGTGGTTAAGTGCGCGTACTTTAATCTGGGAGAACCGGGTTTGATTCCCCACTCCTTCACTTGCACCTGCTGATGTGACCTTGGGTCAGTCACAAGCTCTGGCACAGCTGTCCTTGAAAAAGAGCAGTTTGTGTCAGAGTTCTCTCAGTCCCACCCACCTCACAGGGTGTCTGTTGTGGGGAGGGGAAGGGAAAGGAGTTTGTAAGCCGCTCTGAGACTCCAAGTGAAGGGCGGGGTATAAATCCAATCTCCTCTTCTCTTCTTCTTCTTCATTACATTGAAAATGATCAAGTGTAGTTTTCATTCTGCGTGAACAGAATGATTCATTTAAACCTGAACAGAACAACCAAATAATATTCTAAACAGATTAGGTCTCCCTCACCCAAAGTATTACGCCTCCATCCGGCAGCCGAAATCTAAATTCATTTCCCCCAAACAGATTGAGGCTACCTTTTTTTGCATTTCCATTGTACTTATCACCAAGGTATTTGTTTTTATATCCAAAGGATGTGACTGTGTCTGCAGGCAGGCAAAGGTCAGGCTCCAGGTCATTACATTTTTAAAGTTTCATGATACTGACTCATACCCTAGTCTTACAGGCATGGGCTCTTTTTGTAGAAAAAGTCCAGTAGGAACTCATTAGCATAATAGGCCACACGCAACAGCAGGAACTCATTAGCATATTGGGCCACACCCCTGACAGCACAGCTCATTAGCACATTAGGACGCACCCACACGTTACCAGAAATGTGGTTATCCAGCCACACCCACCTTTTGCTTGTTATTCTGTTTACCTTGTTCGTTGTCAAAACCCAGGGCTTTTTTTGTAGCAGGAACCCCTTTGCATGTTAGGCCACACACCCCTAATGTAGCCAATCCTAATGAGTTTCTGCTGTTGGGTGTGGCCTGTTATTATGCTAATGAGTTCCTGCTGGGCGTGGCCAACTTGGGAGCCAGCCGGAACTCTGTTCCTGTGCGTTCCTGCCCAAAAATAGCCCTGCAGGTATGTGTGCAAAGCTCTGGTAAAGATTCAGATTGGCTTGAAGAGACTGAGGCAGCTGCTTCAAAAGCCAGTGCTAGCTAAATCTGCCGGTTGCAATCCAACTGTAAAATGTTCCTGTCAAATACTGACAGGAAGGAATGCATGAGCATAAAATGAGTTTAGGATTCAAGGTAAGCTGCTCAACAGCTTTAATGCTGCTCCCCAGCAGTATCTGGTAACAGTGATTATTCCTAGTGTAGCATCACCAAACCATGCTATTATGCCATCGTGGCACTACTTACTGAGAGGTTATGACATTTCCTCCAAAAGAGGAAAACAGGGACATGCTTTCAATACCCTTATGCTCATATAAAGGCTTCCTGCCTAAGCTCCCTCCACATGACACATTGCTCAAGGCGCTTCTTTGTCTGATAGACTTTCTATTGATTTAGGCACAGCTTGCTTGCTCTGCTTCCGTTTGTGCAAGAGCTCACTGAAAACTATTGATCCTGTGCAAATGGATATACAAGTGGCAGAGGAAGCAGAGTGCACCGCAGTTGAGCAAAGTGCATATGGAATGCGTTCACAGGATCCAAGCCTTAATCTATGCCTGCACTGTTTTTCAGATATGTGCAATGGCAGGCTGTGCTCTGCATACACTGTTAATGTTCATGTGTCTTTCCATGTGTGTGCATTAGAGAACCCCCCCCACCTCCATTCAAAAATTAACTTCTAGGTACCATGGAAAGGGAGTTGAACCCTGAAGCTTAGCAACTCTAGAAACTCACACCAAAAATTTAGCAAGGAATTCTCAAAGGTTGAAAATGGGGATAAAAAAGAGAGACAGGGATAGGTTCCACAAAACCAGGGTTATCCCTAATAAATAGGAACAGTTGGAGCACAGATGCAGCAGCTGGTACTCCCATCAGGGTCACTCACTTGGCAGCGCACTACCTAAAGAGATTAGGATGCAAGTTTGTAGTCCTCGTAGCACATTCAGTTGACAGTAAATTCCATTAAATTCGGTTTAAAATGTTTTAAGTAAATAAATAAGGGCCACACAGTGCCTGCTTTCAAGTTACTCTAGAGAGTTAGTAAAAGAAATAGACACTGAATAACTAATAAGCAATCTGAGCATATGCAATTCCCTGACGTTGAGTCCACCAAGCTTATCATTGTCTACTCTGACTGGAAATGGTTCTCCAGGGTTTCAGGAGAGAAAGGTCTTTTCCATATCTGCTATCAGAGAACCTTTGACTGAAGTCACCACTGGTTGGACTTACTTGTAAAGTATGTGCCCTCCCTCATCCTCCCTTCCTAAAGTTTGAGTTTATTTTAACATGACAGATTCAGAACCATCCTAACAGTTTTTACTGATAAGGCTGACTGGGGCTGACTTTTTGGGATGCTTACAACTGGAGCCTTGGGCTCTGAGCCCTGTGGGTGTTGTGGCCCCAATATGCACATAAGGCTCCCCCACCTGCAAGGGCTTCACCACTAATTTTGATGTAAACTGCTCCGAAGTGCAGTCTGGTTCCACACATGAAAAGAGAACTTTGTATGTTCCAATTATTCATGTGAACATTGTTGGTGGCCACATGAAACACTGGATTAGTCTGAAAGTGCTGTGTCACTAGAGAGAATAGCTGGTTGATTACGATGTGAGGGTGCATATGGTAAAGTAGGCTGTTGCCTTAAGAAGCACTGGCGACTATCAATCACTTCATTTAAATCTGTTCATGACAGTAGCTTGTCAGAACTAAACAACCTGTTCTGTTCCATGGGACATGCTGGCAGCTGAAATGAATGAAGCTTTTTCTTTGCATTGTATTTATATAATATCACATAATTGATATAATTTGCACTGAATTAGAAGGTGTTTCATTTCAATGAGACAATTACTGGCATACTGGGAAGCATGAAAAATCTCCTTGCTACCATCTGTGCCTCCCAGCCATCTGGAATCACCAGGAGCCCGGTACTATTAACGACACATATCCGAAAATAATGAATCAGCTGCCAAAAGGCACCTCATGAGGCTTATTAATTAGAAGATAAAGATTTATCAAGATACAATAATACAAGAAATGGAAGGCAATATGTATGAGGAAAGAATGAAGATGATGTGCATGATCAACCTAAGGGGAATGGGAAATGGCATATGGTAACTGCCTACAGATATGTAACAAGATGTCAGGGGGAGGAAAGAAAACATTTGTTCTTCCTATCCTCAGGATAGTGTTCTCACAGATAATTCTGTTCCTATGTATAGGATTGTGTGGGATTGTATATGCACTGGCAGCATGCGTTGGGTCTTGTATTTTTTAGCAGTGTAATTTATATTAGAATGCGGCATGTCAGCCCTGCTGATTTGTAGCTGTTTTTAAAGCCATTTTTTCCAGCACTGTCACTAAACAGCATATATATTGTGTTCAGACAGTGACTGTTTGCACTGAAAGGGTGCAAGAAGAGGTGGCCTCCAAAACAGGCTAAATATAATCAGCGTCTCAGAATTTCATCGCACTGATGAATTACTGTACATGCTGTTTATAATTATCTGGACTTGTTCTTTGCAAAAATTCTGTATGGGCTGTTTAGAAATACTTGAAATAATTGCCAGTACAAAATCCCTCTCTCATCTTTACTCCATGGTTACCCTTCCTTCTGCCCCTCCTTCTATGTTGCATCTCTCCTGACTGACATGTACAGTAATTGGTGATTGCATCACCCTAGTAATGCTATATATGGTGGCCAGTATAGGAGCTTATACCAGAATTTGTACAGGATGGAGTGACATATATTCAACTCACGCAAATTTGTGCTACCAGGTTAGTAGGCCAATATTGAAAAAATATTTTTATATAAAAAATGAATTTCTTTTTGAAACATATAACTTTACGGAATTATTTCATTCCCTTTCATATTTAGAATTATTGGTAGACTTTAATTGGCTAGACTGGAGGCCCATCTTATAGAATAATAATAAACAAATACAGAAGGTAATTTTTATGTTTAGCATATAGCATTTTTCAATTAACAATAATGTATATAAGGGAAACTATAATGAATTTTTCTTTGCTTCCCTTTTCCCTCTTTTTCTGTTTGCAATCAGTATTTAGGAAACAACATCTGGCCTTATACTGTATATGTATTTAACATCTTATGTAAAAAACTTTTTTGAATGTATGTCAAATTTGTAATTGGAATTGTGACCACTGAGGAAGGCCCTTTGAGGGGCCGAAACACGTTTGTTTCAGTTGCACAGCACTAACCCATCTATGTAGGAATGTTGAGAAGTTTTTTATGTCTGAATGGTATATTTTTAATGAATCTAAGTTTTAAAATGTGTACACCTGAATAAATTTTGTATTTTCATAATATTTAGTGTCAGCTTAAGCCTTGTGGATCCACAAAAACTTCCATGCCATCCTGGTGGTCGATCTCGATCTAATATTATGTGGGTGGCTCAGGCTGCCTCAAAGATTTCAGGGGACAACTCCGTCTTGCAGGGGACAGGGCATTCTCCCAGGGTGGCTCCTAATTTAACGCCTGGTGGAACAGCTCCATCTTACAGGCCCTGTGGAACTGCATAAGGTCCCACAGGGCCCTGATCTCCTCCAGGAGCTCATTCCACCAGAGAGGAGTCACCACTGAGAAAGCCCTGGCTGAAGCTAGCCAGGCATCCTTTGGTCCGGGAAGGGTGAGTTGGTGTTGAGACCCTGATCGCAGTGCTCTCTGGGGGACATGTGGGGAAAGGCGGTCCTTCGGCTATGTAGGTCCCTGACCATAAAGGGCATTAAAGTGAATTTGATATGCTATCGGTAGCCAGCGCAATGCCTTCAGTGCAGGCTGAATGTGCTCCCGTATTGGGAGGCCCATCAACAACCTGGCTGCAGCATTTTGCACCAGCTGTAGTTTCCAAATTTGCAATAAAGGCAGCCCCATGTAGAGAGCATTACAGTAGTCCAACCTCAAGGTGACCATCGCATGGATCACCATTGCCAAGTTGTTGCATTCAAGGAAGGGAACCAACTGCCTAATCAGCCGAAGATGATAAAAGGCCGACTTGGCAGTGGCTGCTACTTGGGCCTCCATTGTTAAGGAGGTATCCAGGAGCACTCCCAAACTCCTAACCTCTCGCGCTGGCACCAGCGAAGCCCCATCGAATGTTGGGAGTGGGATCCCTACCCCTGGTCCGCCCTGACTCAGGCACAAAACCTCTGTCTTCGTTGGATTAAATTTCAGTCAACTCAGCCTAAGCCAACCAGCCACGACTTGTAATGCCTGGTCAAGATCTTCTGGTTTGGAGTTGGACCGGATGCCCAACAACAGATAGAGCTGGGTGTCATCAGCATACTGATGACATCCCAACCTGTGTCTCCATGCAATCTGGGCAAGGGGGCGCATATAGATGTTAAATAACAATGGGGACAGCACCGCCCCCTGAGGCACTCCACAATCAAGTGGGTGCCTTTGGGAAAGCTGTTCCCCCAGCGTCACCCTTTGTCCCTGGCCTTGGAGGATGGAGACGAGACATTGCAAGGCAGGCCCCTGGATTCCAATGTTGGCGAGGCGGTGGGCCAGTAGCTGATGGTTGACCATGTTAAATGCAGCTGACAGGTCCAACAGCAATAGCACTGCTGATCTGCCTCGATCCAGATGCCTCTGGAGGTTCTCTGTGAGGGCGACCAGAGCCGTCTTCCTCCCATGACTCGGGCGAAAGCCAGACTGGAATGGATCTTGAATGGAAGCGTCATCCAAAATCCCATCCTTTAATAGAAACCATGGCATGTAGAAAATATATCACTAGGATTCAATGCCATCCTGTCTCTTTGTGTGTGGGAGGGAGAGGGTAGGTCCTAAGGGATAGGTAGAGCTTGTGGATTTCTCAGCCGTACTTGTAAAATTGCATGTGGGAAAGCACTTACACTAACAGCCTCACCGTGTAAACATGGGCAGACCCACAGAATAGAGCAAATATGACTCAAATCATATATTTTGTAATTAGAAGAAGTTGAGCACTCCCATCATGTGCACCATTTCCTAACAGCAGGCTCCCCTGAATACAACAGCATTTGTTTCTGAGTAAACATACACAGGATTGCATTATATATGAAGCAGAACTCAAGACATATACACCTGATATTCTTACCAATAAAGCTGCCATCACTGGCCCATGAACGACATACAGCAACTGAGTGTCAACACTCATCCAGCAGCTGGAATTAAAAATATATATATAAAATAAGTAAAACTGGTTGTTTTTTTAAATTCTCAATATAAAATATTTTGAAAGACCTGCTGCTTACTTATCATTGAAGTATTTTGCTCTTGCCACAGCATGGATTGATGCTGGCACTAAAGGAAAGCCTGGAAGGATTAATTACAGACATCAGATTTCATATCATTTAAGAATTCATTCCATGTTAGTTGGAAAAGAACCTGTTAAACAGCATAAGAATACCCCATACGATTTACAAAAGAATGACAGATCCAAGCATTTGAAAGTGCAGGAGTTGCACACTATAGACTGCTGTGGCGATAATTCTTTTTGGTAAGGAAAAACAAAAGTGGGCTCCCGACCCATACCATGGTCAGTGACAGACTGTGCAGTCCAAAGCAGATTACTGAGATGTAAGTCCTGTTGCACTTAATGGGATTTACTTTCTAACAAGAGTGCATAGGATTGCAGGCTGAAAAGGCTGCTGGAAGTGCTGCATCTCAAAGCAACTACAAGGGCTATAATATTTACAAACTGATATGGTCCAATCAAAATGAGACCTGCTATGGAATCCTGAAAAAGCAAGTTTCTCATTAATGGAACAAAAGCCCTATTGTGTGTACAACATATGCAAACAGAATCTTTACAGACATCTTCAAGGTGAAGGCATGTAATAAGTGGGGGGTTGAGCTTAACATAGCAAGGCTGCTACTCCTACCTATAGAGAATCCTTGCAACGTTGCATGAAAAGGGGCTTAATTCTTCAGATCAAGGCAATAAGATCTATGTGACCTCTGCCCTAGCCACAACTGAAAATTAATTTATCAGACTTGGGAATGGCAACAACAGGGCCAGTTGGAGAATAGTAAAGAGAAAATGATTGCAACTTAGTTGCAAAAACTCACGATTTACACAGCTTTTTACCCTTTCATTTTCAGCTAGACCAGTTTAAACACTGTAAAACCAGTACTGGTTTTTTGACTGACAACACAGGAGTTGAGGGCCAAACTAGAGGTAACTGCGCCGTAACAGCTGTTTCAGCACTTGAAAAGGAGTAGGGAGAAAACAAGACCCCCTGCTCCCTCTGTGCTCTGGCCTCCCCCCTCAGGACTGGACTCTGTGGCATTTCTAAATGGCCAAAATTCTTCTCTAAAAAGGTGTTGGCAGTCATGTGTGGGACTCATGGCCACTGTAACCTCTTGTTTGGCCCTGCGTTATGCAGGTTTTAGACGAAGTTTTTGGACATATTTTGAAATAAAATGTCAACATTCTGACATGTTACTGTTTTTAACCTATCTTTAGTGCTGATGATATAGGAACAACATTTGAAAATATTATAGAAACAACCTGCATTCATATTTTTTGAATAAAAACAAGACACTGCTTCACTTCTAGCCCTTCGCTCTCCATGAATTCTAATTTCAGCCTTAGATAACATGGGTGACTCTTCCTTTCTTGCTTCACATGAGCAGTTTTACATTTACTGAACAATTGCAATGTGCAAATCTGTCAGTGTGACAAAAAAGGGCAAGAGTTTGTTTAAAGTGGAAGGATGGCAGGGTACAGCTTTCCATTTTTAACGGTTCTGCTTAATAAAATTCAGATATTTCATTCAGTTCATCTCCCTGTTAGCATACCCATGGGTACAGATTCATGTAAAATTCATGGGGCTGGTACATATTATAACCGTGTGCCTCAAACAAGATTAAGCCAGTCGCAAGCTCCAGGTGTGAAGTTACGTATATTGGTCCCAATCTAAACATAAATAAAATGTCTCCCTCTCCCTTTGCCTGTACATGGCAATCCAGCTCATTTACTGAGGGCTGAATTAGATGAGAGGCTTGTGTTTCCTTTGTAAGTAGCATCTATACAATTCGGACTGAGACCATACTGCAGAAAAAAAACATTCCCTCCCTGTGCCATTTTCCCAACCTGAAATGGCCCTCCCTGTGGAGCTATTCTTTGCCCTATAGGCAAACCTATAGGCATACTGTATGGTGCTGGTATGTTTGCCCCAGTGGGGCGAATAGCAGTTCCCTATGGCTCTTTTTAGGTCAGAAGAACAGTGAAGGGAGAAAATGAGAGGAACACAGGACAACTTGGCATTGCATGCATATAGTGCTAGGAAATATGCCATTCTTTATGTTATGCTAAGAATATTCCACCTTTACATTCATTCTCTTGTTGGTTCCTCCCCCCCCAAATCTGAATTGTGCTATTAGATCAAACAGTACAGACCAAAATATATAATTGGAGAGCCTTACATATTCTGTTAACCCTCAAACCCCCCCCAACCCAACTAATATCACAGTAGGGTTGCCAGCTCTGTCTTGAGAAATACCAAGGTATTTGGGGATGGTACCTGCGGAGAGTGGAGGTTTGGGAGGGTAGGGAATTCAGCTGGGATGGGATGCCATACTAGGGTTGCCAACCCCCCCGGTTTGCCAGGGGTCCCCCGTTTTTTTGGGGGGGTTCTACCCGCCGTCGGCCAGATGGCCGGCGGGGGAAGCCCCACCCCCAACACCCACAGCCACCCATCTCTCTCCCTTTAAGGGTGTGCAACCCGTGTTTTATCCCAAGCGTGAACTCCGCAAGCTTGCAGGGAAAAGCCAGCTTCATTGTTAAAAGGGAAATGCAGCTTCTCTTAAAGGGGAAACACCAGCTGCCGGCTACTTTAAGTTCAGGGAACTGCTGTTTCTGGAGATCCGGCGCACGGCCGGGTGGGTGGGGGGGGTGGCAGACGTCCCCAACGAGACGTCATCATGTTGGGGATGCCCAACCCCTTCCAGGAACGCCCCCAAAGTCCCCCGCTGGGGGTGGAAGATGGACTTGGCAACCCTATGCCATACAGCCCAGCCTTTGCCTTTTCCCCCAGGCGAACTGATCTCTGAAGTCTGGAGCTCAGGTGCAATTCCAGGAGAACCCCAGGACATGCCTGGAAGTTAGCAAGCCTAAATATGAGGCCAACATTGGTCAACCTTACCGGAGTGCTGTCATAACTACTGATCCATGTGACATGCTGTGAACCTTTAGGAAATGGGCTTTAGAAGCACTAAGCATTATGTTTCCAGGGTTAGGATGAGAGCTCATAACTCAGGAAAGGGACCTTGCTGTGCTTTTCTGTGAGTGTTCCAAGCTCATGTGGACTACTTCTAGTGTGACGGCACTAGAAGAAAGTAACAGTTTGTAATTTATACAGAATGGGAAAAAAGCCACATACCCCAGCCCAAGAGGTAATACCAATGCAAACGCTGCTCTTCAGCAAACACCGCCACTACGATGAGTGTATGAAGATAAATGCCTTCACAGAGCATCCAGAAATAGTTACAGCCCAGCATGTACTGGTGAAAAAACTGGAGCACTTTGCAGCTTACCTGTCAGACAAATGGAAAAGAATTAAAATATATATGGACAAGAACTAGGCAGACAATGTACTGCATACCTTGGGTAAGTAAGCAAGCAAAAACACTATTGGTCAGATACAAAGGATTTTACCTCCCTCATATTCGTTGGAGGTTGTCCACATTTCTCAGTGACTATGAGGGACTAATAAATCAGACTTATTGAGTAAATGTTCCTCTTAAATCACAAGGCTTTAGCTTCAAAGAGCCAAGATTCCAAAAGCTGCTATCGGAAACTCACACTTCAGAACACTCTTTTCCAGACTGATGTTTAAATAAGTAGACTCCAAGCCCAGCTAAATCCTGGAAAAGAATTAGCTGACTCCTCCAGAAGGTCACAGTAGCCTGCTTTTTCTTGGTCATTCCTTATGTAATTATAGACATATATAGGTTTCCAGACTGAATTTCCAAAGATGCAGAAGATTCTTTTTTGAAAACTTACTGATAATTCAAGCTAAACACAACAGTTGTTGTTTTATATTAAGAACTATAATCAGGGGTAATTTCGTAGACAAAGAGGTGCAGGAGCTCATTAGCATAACTCATTAGCATAACGTATTTGCATATGCCACACCCCCGGCATCACCGGAAGTGTGTCAGAAGGCAACACCCACCGCTCATGCTCCACTGGGCTGTTTTGGATTGCTAGCTATTGGGGGAGGGGGACGTGCAGATCTGTCCTTGCAGAAGAGGGAGAGCTTGTACCTGAATAAAACTTGGTCTTAAAGGTGCCACTGGACTGTTTTAGACTGGGGGCCGGGGGGGGGGCCCTCTGCAACTTACCTGGCTGCTTCTTGCTCTGACTGAGGGCTGCTGGGAGCAGGGGGTGGGGCTTGTTGCGTGTGCCCGCCCCTTGGGCTCTTTACTGCTGGAGCTCCGCTCCTGGGCGCTCCTGCAGGAAATGACCCCTGACTATAATTTATTACATTTCTATCCTGCCTTTCTGCTGGCATGAGGTTCCCATGAGGTCTCCTAACCAGGCACAGACTCAATCCAGACTGTTTAGCTTCAGCGAGGTTGCTGGATCATGTGCCCCCTAGTCACAGGGAGAATCCTAAGCAGGTCTATTCAGAAGTTAGTCCCATTTTATTCAACAGGGCAAAACAAGAAAGCGTTTTTAGGACTGCAGCTTTAGTGTCATGTTAACCAGTTTTAAGCTACAGGCAGGTTCCTCTATGGTCAACCAGTAAGCATCCATGGCAAAGTGGGAATTTGAACCCGGGCTTCCGAGAATCTAGTCTGACAATCTGAACACTACCCTATGCTGGCTCTCTCCCATTTTCAGAATGCCCTTCCCCTATTCAGAGTCTCCAATACAGTATTTAAAGGGTCCCTCCATCCCTTTGAGTCCATCGTGCTTATGAGAGCCTGACCATTCACAAAGGTCTAGAATGTCCCTTGGCACACATAGGAAAAAAACAGCATTCTCTTCTTTATAGCAAGTGGTTTCAGGCAAGGTAATGAGCATTTCTTGCACCTCATAGCCTAGCTACAAAAGATAAGCATTTATTAAAGAAATGGATTACTCTCTGAAGGACTTCTTTGGTATATGTATTTCCCCGTGCATATATAATCACTTTGTTTTACAAATTCTCCTTTGCCAATATAGACTCATACCTCTGCAGCAAAAAGTAACTTCAACTCAGTTTCTGTCTATACATCTACTTAACAGTTGGGTATGAAATACAAATTCTGGAAGAGAGTCCTGTTAATTTTTTAATAATTATTTTTCTATGAGCTGTTTTGCAAAGTAATGACAAAATGACAGTCTATGCAACTTGTGGAAGTTATCATTACTTTAGGGCATATCCTTTTGTACAGAGAAGTGAGCCATTTCCCCTCAGATACAAGCTACAGCTGGTACAGCTTAACAGCAGAGACTAATAGCACCAACCTAAGCAGAGTTATACCCTTTTAAGATAATTGCAGTCAACAGGCTTAGGGACTGATGAATTAGGGACTTCCTGCTTCAAACCTTGTTTCTGTTGTCAACTCTCCAGAAGTGAATAATTCTCTCAGCCTCAATGATACTGATGTACCTTATACAGCTAATGTAAGGATCATTTCAAGATCATGTTATGTGAAAAATTTGAATACTTGATATCATGATACAAAAACTTACAATTCACAACTTCTGCAGACAGACTGGCACTAACCAGTGCTTAGCCCTCCAATTGGTTTCTAGTACCAATACTTGACCTGGCTTATATGGGATAATGATGGCATTATATTTCCTTCACCACTGAGCATCCACAACCAGCTATTGCACCACTTGGAATAAGGCAGGATGAATGTTTCTAGCCTGAAGCTGTGCCTGCAGGAATACCTCAGACTCTTTTCTATAACAAATTAAGTAAAGACTAAGCAGGAAGAGCAGGCAAGCAAGAAGAAAGAAGTGTCTTAGTTTTTAGAAAGCATTTTCATGTTATACTGAAGTTATCCTTAGATGGCTTTTCTAAAGTATGGGTTAGCATATTCTATGCTGTGTCTTTCTTGATGTGCTGAATATAGTTTTCTTAGCTGGTGTCCATTCCCAGTAGTTCAATCCTAAATAGAGTTACACTTTTCTAAGACAACTGACTTCAGTTGGCTTAGAAGGGTTTAACTGTTTAGGATTATACTGCAACCCCCTCCCCCATTCTTTGTTCTTACTGATCTTATGGCCAGATGAACACTGATGTGATTGACATCACACATCTGTGTGGCACACATTACTCTGAAGTCATGGCAGGATTTCACTTAACTAAAGCATGCCTGTCTCTAAAAGCTGTCAATAAGCATCTTCTGGGAACTCGCCACTGCAAATTCTTACATTTGACTGGCAGCCAGGCATAGTTGGAAGAGTGAAGTTCAGCTCTACAGATTTATTTGTTACTCACAGACATGCATTTTGTAGATTGTCTAGAATTACATTTGCTTCATTTGTGGATGGACTCATTGTGGGTGGGGGTGTCAGTCAAACTATAGAGACCCTGTATTGGAGAGACAGGCTATGTTGGCATCAGCTGTTAGCTGGTCATGTGTTTTGTGGTTATAAAACAGCACTGGGGTCAAATTACATATTACAAGGGATACTCTTGATTGTAACTGCTGTAAGAGGCCCCAAAACGTAGATCACCGCTGTGTTGGCTGACCTTTTTAAACATGTTGATTCTACAACATAAATCCTCCTGGTTGCTATTCCATTTATTTAGTACATTTTTATACCACACTTCTCCAGGGAGTTCATAGATAGGTCTACTTCCTCGATTTTATGCTCACATTAACCCTGGGACAACTGTGGTGAGGGCGACAGAGAGTGATTGGCCCAAGGCTACCATTGACCTTCATGACAGTGGAGGGATTGAGACCTTGGTCTCACAGATCCAAATCTAACACTCTTAATCACTACATCATATCTCCTTCACTGTTAGATTGATTAAGAACATAAGAACATAAGAGAAGCCAATGTTGGATCAGGCCAATGGCCCATCTAGTCCAACACTGTGTCACACAGTGGCCAAAAATACTAGGTGCCATCAGGAGGTCCATCAGTGGGGCCAAGACACTAGAAGCCCTCCCACTGTTGCCCCCCCCCAAGCACCAAGAATACAGAGCATCACCTGCCTCAGACTGAGAGTTCCTATCTATACCTTGTGGCTAATAGTCATTGATGAACCTCTCCTCCATATGTTTATCCAGTTCCCTCTTGAAGCTGTCCATGCTTGTAGCTGCCGCCACCTCCTGTGGCAGTGAATTCCATGTGTTAATCACTCTTTGGGTGAAGAAGTACTTCCTTTTATCTGTTCTAACCCGACCGCTCAGCGATTTCATGGAGTGCCCACGAGTGCTTGTATTGTGAGAAAGGGAGAAAAGTACTTTTTTCTCAACCTGCTCTATCCCATGCATAATCTTATAAACCTCGATCATGTCACCCCTCAGCCGTCGTTTCTCCAAGGTAAAGAGTCCCAAGCGCTTTAACCTTTCTTCATAGGGAAAGTGTTCCAGGTTGCCAATAAGATATACCTGTGATTGTTTATAATACATGAAATAACCAGAGCAGGTGATCTTGTTATACCAAAATGTCAGTATTTCCCTTCTTCAAAGGTAATGTGTTCTCTATTCAGACACTCTATGTGGTAGCTGGAGCACTTTCACCTACAAACTCAAAGCCACCTACACTATAGCAGGATCATCTTGAAGGTTCTTATCTATTTGATCAGCTAAAATCACTATGAACCTGCTCTGCGTAACATCTATACATGTCCACGTCATTTTGGCTAGTGGCACACAATAGTGTCAAGAGCTAATCTGTGCCTTTCTGTGGCAAATTCAACAGGATAGCCTTTTTGGGCAGAATTACTACGCAAACCACTGTAGGCTTCTGGGATGTCTTAATTCCATAATGCCAACATGGGGATCCGGGAACAGCCTTATAGTGGTCTACCGCTTCTCCAAGGTCAGGGACAGAGGGTGGCGCTAGGGGAGAGGGTTTCACCATGATACCCACAGGTATATGGAGTCCCCCAGGGGGCTATCCTCTCCCCAATATTATTCAACATTTTTATTCACCCCCCTTGCCCCGCTGGTGCGGAATCATATCTGTTGATGAGTGGCCACATCTGGCCACAGGTTTGGAGGCTGTGGTTGGTTGGTTAAAACAGAGCAGGCTGAAACTAAATCCAGTGAAGATGGAGGTCCTGTGGCTGGGAGGGAGGGCTGGGGGGGCTTGCCAACTTCCCCTCTCTTGATGGGGTGTCATTAACAGTGGGACCATCTGTTAAAAGCTCGGGAGTGATCCTGGATGCCTCCCTTTCAATGGAGGCCCCAGTCACAAAGGTGGTTAAACTGGCATTTTCCCACCTTTGCCAGGTTAACCTGTACTTGTCACCTTCTGACCTTGCCACAGTGATCCATGCAACAGTCACCTCCAGTCTGGATTACTTTAACTTGCTCAATGGAGGGCTTCCCTTGAGATTGATCCAGAAAATACA